AGTGACAACTTTGTATTGTTTTCTCTTGAAATAAAAAGTGTATTAAAGTGTAATAGAAACAACAACATTTTATTATTATTATAATACATTTATATATTTGTCATATTTGAAAGTTCAACTAAGCACCCAATGGAATGTCATAATACAGACTTAGAAGCTGAGAAAGAAAGTAACTGGACTCCTTTAGGTTTTGTGAAGATGTTTCACCTCTCCTTCAAATGACTTCTTGAGTTCTTAAACTAGATGGTGGGGAGTTCCAGGTCCTTAAACACTAGTGAGTGTTGTCTCTTAAGGGGGTCAATGACCGATATTAGCCATGTGCCTCATCATTTGATCCAATGAATGAAAAAAGTAATTATCACCATAGCTTTTTGATAAACCACTGTGAGACCTCACCCAGTCATATGACCTTTTGAGGTCACCTGAGGGAAGATGTGAGTGGGGGTTTAGGCACTTGGTGTGATCCCAACACTGCCAAGAGTGATCTTTATCCTTTAGGTGTTGATTTAAAGCTAACTCTTGCAATGCTGGTAAAGGACAACCTGTGCCAAGGTTTAAATACCGGGGACTCTCCATCGTTTGGTTTTAGAACTGAAAAACGTCTTGGATGACAGGCGAAACCTCTTCATATAACTTAAAAAAAGTCAAGTTGCTTTCTTTCCAATCTCCTTAGACTATCATGACATGGATGACTGAAAGCCTACATAGACTGGAATGTCAGATTAGAATGGTGTGTCACAATATAAATCATCACAGCATCATACTGTAATGACAGTGCATGTACATATTTTTATGCTCCCTGTCTCCCTTGTACAGATAATAATAACAATAATTATAATAATCTTCATGGTTCAAATGAGAAGCTAGACGTGAATCTTACTTTTAAACAATCAAATGACAAGTGCTTACCTTAAATAATGTAACTATGATACCATATATGGTGGCGATGATGAAAAAACCAGTGAGGGTGAAAGCCACATTCCAGCTTTCCTCAGCTGTGTCTTCATTCACATCAGCATGCACAATGTTGTCAAATAAATTACAATATTTCATCGTATCTGTGAATAATGTATACATTGCGTTATTTATCACTTACTTGACATTATTATACTAACAAAGAAGCTGAAAAGAGATTGGAAAAATAATGGACTTTACATGTCCTTTACATTACTTAATAGGACCTTATATGTGCAAGAAAAAAAATCAATCAGTGAATGATGCAGTACCTGGTTTCGATATATTCCGGGACAGGGTGGTGTTGGCATGGATCACCCGGCAGGTGAAGACCACCCCAGGTAAGAATATTTCTTGGGACAGGTAAAGGTGGCTCTTGACACTGAACTTTCCATCTGGGCCTCTGTGGGGCTCACTAGTGTTGTAGTTCAGCGGTTCTGTGCCTCCATTTTGAAACCAAGTGATGTTAATGGATACAGGGCTGAAGCCAAAGACCAGGCACACAAGTTCATTAGAGCCCTGAAACAAGTAGACTGATGGCTGGCTGTAGATCACTGAGGCTGGAAAGATATCCACAACATTTTTAGCAATCAGTCAATCAATTTTAATCAGTCTGTTAAAATGATTATAATGGAAATAATAGGTAAATATTAAATGCTAAATGGCAGCTCACCAAACACATCAGTTATATTGTCTTTAACAGGCGCTTTAGATGACTCCTGTTTGACAACACAAGAATACGTAGACCTTGTGGCTTCAGTTTTGGATATGTTTAGTCTGCTGCTCATAGAGTAAGAGCTGCTCCCTGAGTATTTCCATGGAGGACTGTTTACGTAATGTGAGGATGCGAGAGTCCGGCCATCTTCTTCCCAGTGCACTATGATGTTAGCAGGGAAATATTCAGACACTAGGCAAACAAGCGTTAGGATGTCAGACTTAGAAAGTTCAGAGGCAGTTGGTTGTATTATCTTCACTGTTGGCTCAAGGAAGTCTTGAAAAACACAAAAGGAAGAGAACCATAAAAATACAGTCACAACCAGAGGAACATGAAGTTTAGAAAGATTTGTTACATTTCTAATATTACCTCTGCTTTTGCTTATATGGTCTTCATTCCCATGATTGGAACATGGATGTTTTCCTTCACAAGAAATGTTTGTATGTGCATCCCAATCCACTGCTAACACTTTAAGGAAGCTCTGTCGAGTCTCTGTTCCATTGTTATGACTCACTGAGAGATTAGTTAGGACACCATAACTCTCGGGAATTTTGCTGCCACCTACTCTCCAGGTGATGGAGAAATCACTAAGATTAGGGCCGACCAGAAGACAGGTAATAGTCACATGTTCTTTGCTCTCAGTCAGCTGTGGCAGTGGTCCCTGGACATAAACCCCAACTAGCTGTGATGATGATGGAGTTTCTATAAAAAATAAAATTAATTTTAAAAAATGAATACATAAATAAATAAAAATAATATGCAACAACCATGGAGCAGTTATAAAATGTCTCATATCCAAATTTCTAATTTAAAAATAGTTTTATTGTATTCTTAATGATTATCACAATAAGAGAATTTTCACTGTACCTGAACAGAGACTGATTGTTTTTGTGATACTTGTGTTCAGAGACCTGTCAGACACTTCACAGGTGAAATTATTCCCTTTTTTCCACTCAGATTGATCAATTACAAGTTGACTCGTTACTCTAACACGTCCATCTACACTCATGCTGATATTAGTGGAAGTTGGAGACCTTTCCTGAGACTCAGACAACCATTTAATGTGAGGGTTGAAGCTCCATCCAGAGCATGAAAGAGTCTGTGATTCTGAACCTTTACTGGGAACCAGAAGAAGCTCCATGGATGGGTCCACTAAAGGGGGATAAATCAATGCATCTATTAGTCTATTTAATAGAAACCATGTAACTATAAAACAACAAAGATAAATCAGCTTCTACAAAGGGAAAAAAAGGGAAATCTCCTCACCAAAAATATTGCTGATGGAGTTTGAGTGAAAGGTTTTAGAAGAGCCTTGAATCACTTTGCAGGTAAAGGTTTGGTCTTTCATCCAGTACTTCTGAGGGACAATGAATTGACTACTGATTGAAAGTTTGGCTACTGAGCCTTCAGCAAAATTATAATGTTTTTTTTCAAGAATTTCACCACGATTGACTTCTAAGGCGATGAAGAGGTTACATGAGGACAGTTGTTTGATGTCACACTCGAACACTGCACTGTCTCTCTTCGGCAGATCTGTGAGAGATCGCCTGATCTCCACCAAAGGAGTATTAACTGGACAACCTGGATGATCATGCAAAAACATTATTTTAATTGCTCTTTGGTCATAACATGTCTGATTTTCCTATTGTTGTATCATCTTACCTGCAATATTTATGGTCTTCTCAGCAGATGTGAAGCACTTATGCTCTGCTTTGCATGTTACATTCTTCATGTTCTCCCATTGAGTCGAGGAAACTGAAAGATTGCTGATTATATGAGTTGCGTTTTTCTCTCGGGTCGCTGTTTTAGTCACGGCTTTGCCATCAATCAGCCAGGTGATCGTGGCATCAAAATAAGTGTGGACCAAACACGTTGCTTGCATGTCAGTATTTGAGGTAATTACAGTCTTGAAGCTGGGAATCTCCACTTGAATGAAGGGAGAGGAGCTTGGAAGAGCTGTTAATAGGAAAGTCAAAAAAAACCAAACAAACATTAGAGTCTGACGTTGTTACAATAAAGGTGAATTTCTGTGGATTATAAGAAAAATTGCTTATTAATATGGCAAGCTAATAAAACAAACTTTTAACTAAAGACTGATCTTAATTAGTTTCACATATTAAGAATTTGCGCATGATAAATGTGTTATTTGAGTCAGTAACTCTACATACTTACTGTGACAAATGTTTATTGCTCTGTTATATTGATCACCATTGGGCTTAGTCTTGCAGGCAAAAGTTGAGCCTTCTGCCCACGATGCCATATTTGGCCTAAACTCACTGCTCAGGCTGAAGGTTTTCTGTTCTCCCCCTGCACTTTGTAGCTTCCTTGTGCTTGCCTTATTGCTTTGATCCCGTTTTCGTCCAGGAACCACTCCAAAGTCAGTTTGTCTAGAAAGGAGCCACTCAATGTGCAGATGAGCCTTACTGTTGAGATTCCCAACTTCCCCATCCCAGACTGAGTACAATGTGATGTTTGCTGAGACAATCCGAGGCACTGAGAAAGAGCAAATATTAGTTTGACTTTACATGCATAATTATAAATTCTATGTGTTAACGCAGCAAGAAAAAAAGTTAATGTCATCTCAGTTATACATACCTTCAGATTTTGGTAAATGAGGAACTGTTTCAGTTTTAAGTGTAGTGTGTTTGTCTTTAGGCTAGATGGCAGAGTTATAATTTGACATTGTTTGGTGTTACTGTTCAGGTGAAGATAGGGCAGGAAGTCTGTTGCACAGTGTTATGCATATAGGGCAGAGTGGTCAGGGCAAGCAGCAAGCGGAAGCATTGAGTAACACCCAGGTCTCAAAAAAGTACCAAAAACAGAATGAGAGAATGCAAAGAGCAACGGAGCATCACAAACAGCAGGTGTGAGGTGTGGTTATGCCAGTAAGAGAAACAATTTGCACATTTACATTTCTCATGTCATTTGCATGTGCACACATGTATTTTATTTCACATCTCATGACTTTGCCAAGGTTTTAGTTCTCAAATCCTCTAATAATAGAGTAAACGCAACCGACTGTAAAATCTACCACTTTGCATATTTGGTATAGCATGGCTGCTGATTCCAGATGCTGTGATGTGATGAACAGAACTGTATATTAGAGTTTAAAAAAGGACAAAATATTAAATACATTATAAATAATCTTTAAAATGCATTAAACTTTTACAGATCAACCTTCAAATAATGTAAACAATTTCAAAATAAAGCAGAGAAAGACAAAATTTAATCTTAATTAAAACATTATTTTAAAGACAGATAAAGCTTTTGCAGTTAAAAAAGGCAGTTGTGATTACTTACATGATAGTATGAGATTATATGAAAAAAAATTTTTGAGAAATATTTTTTTCACCACACTCAAAGGTCCTTTCACAGTCCATTTGTTTTATTTGACCTGTTAAAAGAATAAAAAAATAGTGAACTTGGAGCAAAAGGATTTATTTCATACTGCTCACCACTACTTCATTATAAATAGTGTTTATGCATGAAGTTACATTGCTACACATATATCAAAAATGTATCAATACACAGGAAACTTATAATGCTGTGCTTTTATTTTGTAGTTGGTTAAATATAGTTGCTGAATAAACTTAGAAGGAACACTACTTTAATATCAGCTGAAAATCACTTAGGAGGTCAAACTAACAGTTGACAAAGCTGCTTATAAGAGATTGTTACACAGTATTAAGTCAATTTTAAATTAATTTACTTTCAATAATACACATTCAATTGATTAAGGCATTCAGAAACTTGCCATCTGGACATAAAGCACTGGGATATACATGCTACACTGGGATATAAAGAAAAATGAATTCAAATAGTAACATTATGTAGTGTAATTATCTTTTAACTTACACATATAAATTGGTTTAAATCAGCAATATGAGCATATTTTATATGTTTTGCCATTGCATAGATTATTCCACACAATATCACACAATTTAATGAGTTTGATAATCACTTTTGTCACCATATCTTAAATATTGTAATCAACCACACATGCCACACTGATTTTGAAGAGCTTCATTTTGATCTGACACGATTTTGTATTTATGTCTTCCAATATGCAGTGTAATAGAAATTACACTGCTGCTTCTGACTTAAAACCCTTGTCTTTGTCCATAGAGCTAGATCTTTGAGTAGGGCGATATCAGTATGATATCAGTTGGCCCTTGAACATTCAACTATTAAATTATGTTTTTATACAATTTCAGCACTCTAAGTGAATTTAGCTGATATATATTGTTTATATGATATTAGCAATAACTGTATAAAGATAATTAAATTCACAACAACAGCTGAATTGTGAGTAGTAATCCCTCACTGGGATAACGTGAACCTTTTTCTTCCTTTTTAATTGTATTAACTAAATATTACATTGGTTTATTAAACTGACATAATCCTAAATGCTTCTTAATGTGCATAGATACAATTTTTTCTGTTAATCTGCATTTTTTTTGTTGTTTTTACAATAATTGAGTTATTCTGACTCATGGTTAAAATGCAGAATGCTAAATGAGTTTTAGTTTTTTTCTGTCATGGCTACGTGCTTGATGAATGTAATCTGTCATATTGCTCAATGCTGAGTTAAATCTGCAGACAATGCCAGCACATTAATTTCTGATTACCTTGATAACAGTTGTTCCAAAGATTAACAGCAGAGTGATGAGGAAGAGAAGGATGAAGACGATGGCTACGCTTGCTATGTTATCGTCTCCAGATAGTCCAGGGTGATGAAACTCCAGATAGTCACCGATGAGAAGATCTAATGAACAAACGTTATTGTGTCAAATAACTGGACATTTCACAACCCACTTTGAAACACACATTGTACGATGGAACTTATAGATTTTATTTATTTCTGTTGTGGGTTAAATACATATGTTTTGACTCTATATGCTATAGCAGATTCATAGTCAGTCAACTCAGCTGGAAGTTATAATGACAGAAAAGAAAAAAATAAGCTGACAGATGTCGAGTGAGTGTCCCATGAAGATGAATAGAATTTCATGCCTTTCAGACCTACAATCCTGACTTCTGACTTGCTTTAGAAAGACTCCAGTATTGTTTATTTGCCTGGGAGATTTAAAGGGTTGTATTGAGCAGTCATCTGTTTTTAAGGGGTGCAAGACTCAGTAGATGACACACAGGCACACAAAGACAAGTCACAGAAGCAGTGTTACTGAACTATCTGCATATTAAATAAACATAGACTGTTCCCTAAATACCTCATTTAGTACTGTTGTATTATTCTAGTAGAAATTAGATATTACATTTTTTTATATTATTATTTTGTATTATTTTATAATTATTGTGTAAATAACCCAAACATGCTACTGTCTACATTAGGATAGCACTGTGACTGTACAATAAACATAAAGCTCAAAATATGATTTAAATGAAGACGTGAACTGCATACAATAAACATCAACAGAGTTGCAAACTGTTTTTTTTTTTTTTTATTTTGAATCTGCATTGAAACACACAAACACAATGTCATATCACAAGCAACAGACATTAAACAACAAACAGCAGAAGACAGAGACATGAGAAACATCTACTGGGCCGAGCACTTTGAGTCTTGGTTGATGTTCATGTTGAGGTCAATGCGGTTTTGTCAAATGTTCTGTACCCAATGGACCTGACAATAGCTCTAGTTGTGTTAACCACAGATTCGTGGTACACTACACAGCTATAGACAGCATTGTTTTTCCACTCGTGAAGGCTGACAAACAACTGGCCATACGCAGAATAGAATCCATTGTTTTCAATGGGTTCTGTGGTATTAAAAGCATAACTACTTGAGTCTGCTTCCTCGTCATCCACAAGCCAAGACACAAAAACTTCCTTAGGGAGGAAGTCTTTCACAAAGCAAGTCAGGGTCACCTCTGCTTTGTTAGTTTGTTCTAAAGGAGGGAGCATAAACACTGACGGACGCTCAGGGCTTCCTCCTGTAAGCATGAAACAACATGAGACTTTGTACCACACATACATTAACCAAAATAATACAGGAAGTCAAATCCACACACACACACACACACACACAGACATAGACACACACATACAGACTGAGAAGCAACAGTTATGATGTCTTTGATATCAAGATGTCAATAAGGACTAAACACTGTTTCAGAGTATTTTTCTTACCGAATTCCCTTTCATAAGGTTCCCTTGAAGGTGTGAGTAAATCTGAGTGGTGAACAACACAATAGCGCTTTACCCCCCTGGTCCATTCGTCATAGGTGATGTCAAGTTTAGACAAGTATGTCATCCCATTTTCTTCAATCATTGGTTTACTTGCTATCTCCTCTTTATTCTCATCCTCCCACATTATTTGAGGTTTATCTTTTTGTACTGTGACTCGACATGTTAGAGTTCCTTTTTTATCTAAAAGCATGTCCTCAGTTGCGGGGCCAGTGATTTCTACTTTCACATTAGATGTAACACAATCAGGACCTGAGTAATGAAGCAAAAAACAGTTAGTGAGCAAAATTATTACAAAACCACATTTAAAAATATAAATGTATATTTTTTTAAAAGAAAACAAATCTGTTACTCACATGTTGGGATTACTTTGTAAGGCACAGTTTTATTCAAAGATCCATCTTCTCCTCCAGTAAACTGACATGTAAATGTAGTCTTATCATTCAGGTCACTGGAATTTACTGTGAGAAAACTTGTTGCAGAGTACAGTATTTTTCCAGCTGCATTTTTTGAGTCACAAACTGTTTCGGTCAGATCTATTTTGCTGGTGACGTCTGCTCCGTTTTTCAGCCATTTTATGCCATGTTTCTTTGGTGCAAACTCTTTGGCAAAGCAGGAGGCAGTATAGGTACCGTCCTCATCAGAAGAGGAGGAAAACACTTTAAGAGTTGGATTCTGCTTAAACACCGCTGAAAAACAAAGATATACACACATATGTGTATGCAGAAGCAGGGAATAATATATATATATACGTATTTATATATATGCAGAAGCTGAGATAAATAATTTGCTACACTGTTCATACTATATTGTTTTTCTATATAAACAAGTTCCTTATGCTCACTTTTTTTTTTAGCACTTTCACTTTGCACAGTGTCCAAAAGAAAACTGGATTTGTGTAGTCACCAATAACTGAACTGCAGAGCTTCACTGCTCACTCTGCATATACATTGACTGGCAAGCAAACACAGATTTAATATTATGTTAATTATGTTAATATCAATGCACAGTGAAAGTGGAGGGAGACAGGCAGAGATCAGAAAGGATGAGGATTATTTAGACAGATGGAAAGAAGCACAACATGCTGCAATATTGTTTTTCAGACGGGCGCAGAGCACATAAGTATATGAGTGAAGAATTAAAAAAAGACAATGTACCAAAACTTAATACTGCTTGGATATATTCTTTTCTCATTCCACCTTACAATGTGTGTGTGTGTGTGTGTGTGTGTGTGTGTGTGGTGTGTGTGTGTGTGTGTGTGTGTGTTTCCACAAAGTCCATTAAGAAATTATGAATTTGAAATATTTCACGTTATTTAATGAGGTGAAATATTTGCTTCTATGTTGATTATGATTTTTTTAAAAACGAATAACTTCGTGTTTTTGTTGTAAGTTGTGTGTTCAGATTAATTGTAAACATAAGCAGCTTGGGGCGCATTTACAATAAAGTCAGCCTCTACTATATTTCTTCAGTAAACAAAAACTGGAGATTAACTCGATAACTGACTCTTATCCTTATTAGAAGTAACAATCACTAGATGTGGCCCAGTAATAGTTTATAAGAAATATTGCCTCAGAAAAAGTGCACTGAAGTTTACTGTAGCAATGTATTATGTATGTGATGTATCAAGAGTTCAAATAACCTAAGAAAAGGAAATTAAATGACTTAACAAAAATCTTACAGACTATAACAATATCAGCCTGTGCATTTATGTGCAAATTCATTCAAATTGTTTAGTTTTGTATATGTTCACAGAGCTTTCATGTAAACTTGTTATAAGTCAAATAGAATAAGATAAACTGATTAAATGTGAATTAGCATAAGGCTTACGTGTTGGTCTGACAGGAGTCTGTGCATTCCCAGCAGCGTGATTCACAACACATTGGAAATTCTGTTGTGTATCCCAGTCCTGTTTCCTCACTCGGACTTGACTGACTCCAGTATAAACATCGCCTTTTTGTACTGCAGGGTACTGGATGAAGTCTGTCAAGGCAGTGCTGCCTTTGTTCCACGAGAAAGTCACTGCAGGAGGGTTAAAACCGGTGGCAAGGCAGCCAAGAGTGATCATATCTCCGCTCTCAGTGCCACATGGTACCAGAGGAAACACAGTGGGTGCAGTTGAAGTGGCTAAGAAAGGGGAGACAACAGTAATTAAGATACCAGAATAGAAATACAATAATATACCACACGTTTTCACTTAGAATTGTTAAAGAAAAAACGAGATGATTGTGATGTATAATAAAGTCCATTGTGAAAGACCTTACATTTTAAATGTTTAGCATTTCAAATGCCCGAATCCTATTTTGTTAAATACTCTCCATTAGTGTTATATAACAATATTATATATTAATAAGTGTCACTTCTTTAGTAGTCTACACCACACCTTTTTGTAAATTATTTTAAATGCATAATATGGACAAAAATCAATCACAAGAAAACAGAAATAAAATAAAAGAATAACATAAAGTCGGTAAACTTCCTTTCACAGTGCTGATGGCAAATTATTTTAAGAACACATTAAATTTGATTCCACTTTAGCATTGATGTTTGAGATGAAATGGTTTACTTACCTGATGAAACAGTGACTGTTGTCCCCTTTCCCCAATAGTCAAAAGCACCGTAGCACAGTACTGAATATACTTAGTTCTTAGTATAAAAAGGCTAAACTATTAATGATACACAAAAGGTCTACTTCAACAGTCATTAAGAAGAAGATTATAAAATCCTATCAAATCACCCAAAATATGCTATCTGTTAAAGCCAATTTTGACAATATCACATTTTTTTAGCAAATGTATATGAACACAATTCACTGAGAAAATATTACGTTAAATTATAACTTGTATCCAATGGAGACATATCTTAACTGATGATGCTGTAACTGGAGAGCCATTTTCTAAGTCTAAAAACCATTTGAAATACTTAATAGATAGTTTTCATACTTCACACAAAACATTTGATACTCTTACTTAAGGATTTTATTACTCACAATTGGTCTGAAATTCTTTTTTTACATATTCTGTAACAAACTACAAATTTTTTTTGATGTAAGTACTTATTTTATCAAATTTATCATTATAGTTGTAACAAATGAAAATGAATACATTGTATTGTAACGGGGGATCAGGAATTTCTCTCTTTAGCAAGAAATATAACAATTCGTACCTGATGTGACGGTGACTGTCGTGCCTTTTCCCCAGTAGTCAAAAGCGTAGTCACAGTTTAACAACTTACTGACAACTGCCTACAAAAACCTCACACTCCATCTTATAACAATCTACAATCTGATATATTTTCCTTATAGTTAATATAAAGAGATTCAAAAGACTGTACAAAACCTGATTTTCACCACCATTTAAACCAAGTCTGTAAACTATAAGACATTTATCTCTCAGTCTACAAATGACGGTATTGAATTTTCTCACAACCACAACATTTCTTTAAAAAAAATCAAAATTTAAATGAAATCTTAAAATTAAAGTGAAAGAATTAGATCACCTTACCTGATGTTACTGTAACCATTGTACCTTTCCCCCAGTAGTCAAAAGCCCAGTTATCACAGTTAACAGAGTCTTTTTACACCTCTTACAAAAACTAACTTCTGTGATATGGCATTACTTGGTGACATAATTTAACTTTGGAAATAATTTGAATCACTCTCAACTAAATAACTGCTTATATAATTATTTTCTAATCAAATTAAAGAGAAAGAAATACAAGGTTCTTTCTTTTTGTGCCAATTCTTTTTCAGATTTTATATAATTAAGCAGGAAAAACAAGTTAGTTATAAGAATAATGTTAAAATTCATACCTGAACCGACAGTGACCATTGTGCCTTTTCCCCAGTAGTCAAAAGAATGGCCACAATCTAAATAATTATTTACCACTCAATACAAAAACCTGTTCACATTTTTCTGCGTTTTCCATATTATTTTACGATAACCAAAAAATCTGGAATAGTCTCATTTTTTGCAAATTGAGATTCTGAATTCTTAAAATAATACCATCAAAGATTAAACTGAGAGTACAAATTATAGGCTTGTAATACTATAGAAATTAGTTTGAAAAACATTTTTTCTTTGAAAGAACAACAACACAGTCTTTAAATTTAAATCTTAACATTATGAGAAAGAAATGAATCATTTTACCTGATGTAACCGTGACCATTGTGCCTTTCCCCCAGTAGTCAAAAGCGTGGTCACAGTGTAAAATTTCATCATATCCGACATACAAAAACAACCACCTCCAAGTTCTAAATATGCCAAATTAACAGTGAAAGTTTTGTATTTTTAGTATTAAAATTAAGTCAGAAAGCTCATCTTACCTGTTGTGACAGTGACCATTGTGCCTTTTCCCCAGTAGTCAAAAGCATTGTCACAGTATAAGACATTAACACATTGAACATACAAAAACAAGCACCTTAAAGACTCTCATGGTCCCACTAATGTCGAAAAACCAACCAAACAAAAAACCCAAAAATGCCTCTAAAAGAACCACATTTATAATATGAAGACAAAAACCTTTTTTACCTGTTGTGACAGTGACCGTGGTTCCTTTTCCCCAGTAATCAAAAGCAGCGTTCACAGTGTAATAACTCAACATATCCAACATACAAAAACATGTGTCTTTAAAACCCTAAATACAACGATTTAAAAAGTGTTATTAAATTTTTCATAGAACGGAAAAAATACGTATATTTTTACCTGTTGTGACAGTCACAGTTGTTCCTTTTCCCCAGTAGTCAAAGTAGTCATCACAGTGACAGATTTCAATTGCACTTTAGTGCAAAAATATTTTGCCAGCTACTTGTGTCATTTCAAAGGTGATTACACTAAACCGAGAAACTATTACCTATCATTTACACAGATATTACACTATAACATTAGATGCAAAATATAACCAAGATTTTATTTAATACTCTAAATAATCAGCTAAATATAGGATTTCACTAACTCAAAATACATGACATGATCACTTACCAGAAGTTACTGTGACTTGTGTTCCTTTCCCCAGTAGTCAAAGTAGCCATAGCTGTCACAGTGATCTGTTAGAGTCTGTTTCCAATACAAATACTTATTTAATTTAAACCAAAGGAATCAGGTTTCACAGACAAACAATTCCCAGTGTACTCTTTATTAGCAGTTTCCGTTGAGACATCCATTTCCTGTGGTCTGGGTTATATAAAATTAGGTATCCTGCCAACAGTTTGTAAACACTTCCTCTTTATCAGACCCTTTGGCAGCTCCTGCTTTTACAGCAACCAACCAGCACAAAGTCAGAAGGAGTTAATGTTACTGATAGAGCTTTGTTGGCCTAAAGGCCTTGTATATATGTTAATACTGAACAGTCAGTGCTTGTTTTTGGTTCAACTCAAACATGATTGATGTAGGTAAACATTCTCCGCTGCAATAGTGAAGAAATTTGAAGAACAGAATTTAGCTTTCAATGTTGAGTTAGGTGATTGTTTTTCTAGTTACTGTTTCATAGCAGAAATGGCAAATAAGTTTGCCTCAAGGTGTCATCAAAATAAAGAACTATGTGTCTTGAAGAAGTTCGAAGAAACTTGTGGGCACCCTGGACAGGTGTTGATGAGATGTCCATGTTGCCCACAGTAAAACCACTCACTCCTTCTTTCCTCTGAAGTCAGCTCGGTCCTGCTGATCTGCATCGGCTACAACTCCAGTTTGCTCTCATCACTTCCTGTTTCCTCTTTTGCCCCCCTGAAGTTTCGCACCTGAAGTGGAGCGGGAGTTTAGTTTTAGTTGACAAGAGAGTCAAGTAAGTGTTTAACAGCCAAGTATTTCTTCATATAAATAACTGAACTGTTAAAAAAAACCTTGATGCTACACCATTGGTCCCCAGCCAGTCTCCTTCACTAGGATCCAAAAATCCAAAAATCAACTGAATAGTCAGCCAAACTCCACACCCCCTGTTACACATTAAACATATTTTGAGCTGCTGTGTCTCAATTGGACTCTTTGACAAAAACACAAACTAGTAAACAAACTCTGCATCATTTCCATTTATCACAGCTTGTCCCTATTTTAAGACCCTGCCCCGAGGAAGTTTAACTATGTAAGTAACCTTGACATGATCTGAAAAATATGTATGCAGAGTAGTTTGACATTGAGTTAAAAATAATCATGGACATACCATGAAAAGCTTCACGACAAGGATGTGTTCTTTCATGGAAATTGGGTTGAGTTTTGATTGTGGATCAAGAGTCGAAGTTACTGTGGAATGGGCTTTGGTTTTTAAGCATATAACTTTAATCTTAACTTCTGACATCAAGAGCTGGACACAGGGAGAAAGTGTTACAAGTTTTATCAACAGCAAATACTTAAGAGAATGGAGGCTTAGAGCGACAGGTGGTTCGCAGGCTGGTCTGGCATAGAAAAACACAGAGAGTTTACACATGTGAATCCACAGACAAGGTGAGCTGGGTTGCCTAAGACAAATGTCCAGGGACCGAGAACTGTCTGCATGGAGGGAAACCGAACATGCACTTTGTAGGAGACTATGAAAGGTGTTCCTGCAGACAGTGGGCAGCATGTGGTTTGGAGATGACTGCATGTCCTAAGAAACATAACATAACATGATAATTTTTTCATCTGGTTGGTTAGGGGCTCCAACACAAAAATTAACCACAGCAATAAAGAAACACATTTTTGTCCTACTGTAAAAAAGAAATGGAAAAATGCTACTGATGTCAACTCTGCACAGCAACACACCTGTGGGCACAAGGGAGGACAAGAAAGTTCAGGGAATATTGGATTTTTTTTTTACACTGTTAGCTGCAGTTTGGGGATAAGTTTCTTTGGACCCAAATAGAATGTTCACTTTTGACTGGGAACACAAAAGTTGTAACTTTATCTGACAGTATTTATGAGAGTTCAGAAAAAGAAGAATGACTTTAAAACCCTTGCTTAAATATCACTCTCTATCACCGGGTGTCTCAAGACAAAGACAGTGAGTGTTTTCACATTATGCAGTAGTGTAAATCATCTAATATGCTGTGTCTTTTGATATATATGCATATATATGTATTCATTGAACAAAAACATTCTGAGTAGTCATGAATTATCAATGAATGAGTGACTGGTTAGTACAAAATCACTATAAGATAAGATAAGATAAGATAACCTTTACTAGTCCCACACGTGGGAAATTTGTTTTGTCACAGCAGGAAGTGGACAGTGCAAAAGTTATATAGCAAAAATTTGAATATAACTAGAAAAAGGTGCATTTCCTGCAGAAATGCAGTGTGAGTGCTGTGTATTTGAAAGACTACACTGAAGAGTGTCATGAAAGCAGATTACATGCAAGCAGGGAAGATGTGCAGCATCTGTCCCATGTAGTACTTGAACCCTTGCCATGGGATCTCACAGAAGCTGCGCATCCCACTGCGCCAAACCAGTTCCAGTACCAAACAGAGATATGATGAGAGGAAAAAAAATGCGCACTGTGCAGAAGAAGCTAACTTGTGCTGAAAAGAGGTGAAAAGGCTGAAAACTGTGCTGATAAGAGCAGAAGAGGATGAAAATTGTGCTAAGAAGAGGTGAAAAAGCTGAAAATTGTACTGAAAAGAGGTGAATCAGCAGACTTTCTGCTGAAAAGAGGAAAATAAACTGAAGTTTGTGCTAAAAACAGCTTAAGAAGCTGGAATTTGTGCTGAAAAGTAGTGAAAAACTGAAAGTTTTGCTAAAAAGAGGTGAAAAAGCTGAAATTTGTGTGGAAAAGAGTTTAAACAGTTAACTGAAGAAAATGTTGCCATAATCGGGATTCGAACCCCAGCCTTCTGGTCTGAGAACGGATGCTCATCTCACTGAGCTAAAACATGGCTCAGTCCAGCAAGCAAAACTGGTGATCACACTGATAATGTGGTCCCTGTCAGCAAAATGGGCCAAAAAATGGCATAAAAAGTTGAATAACTCAAAAAGTACAAAAGTTATCATCACCAAAAGATATAGCAGATATAGCAGAAATAGCAGAACAGTCTAAAGATTGAACGGTGAAAATCGACTGAAAAATGAGGGAGTAGTTAAGAGGCAAAGAAACGGAGCAACTAGAATAATAAAGGACTAGAAAAAATTGCATTTCCTGCGAAAATGCTGTGTGGATGCCTTACGCTGAAGATTTCTGCTGAAAAAAGCAGAAAAAGTTGAAAAAACAAAAAACATTGCCCTGAGCGAGATTCGAACCTGGCCTTTCTGATCTATAGGCGGCGTCTCACCTTACTGGACCAAACTGATTCTTACAAAGAAGAGGTGGAGAGACTGACAATTCTGGTGAAATTAGCAGAAGCTGCTTAGTATTGTGCTAATAAGAGGTGAAAAGGCTAAACATTTAGCAGAAAAGAGGTGAATCAGAAGAAGTTCTGCTGAAAAGAGGTAAAGAAGCAAAAAGATGAGTTGAAAAGAGGTGTAGAAGTGCTTGCTGAAGATGGCTGTATGTGTAATGACACACTGGAGAGTGTCAAGAAAGCAGAGCGCATGCAAGCAGGGAACATGTGTAGCAACTGTCACAGGTAGGATTCGAAACTCTGCCCCCGGGTCTCACGGCAGCTGCCCTACCCTCTGAGCCAAATGAGTTCTGGTCTCAAGCAAATATATGATGAGAGAGAAAATGTGCACTGTGGAGCAGAAGCTCAAATTAGCAGAAAAGAGGTGAAGAGGAAGAACTTTGTTGTGAAATGAGGTAAAGAAACTGAAATTTGTGCTTAAAACAAGTGAAAAAGCTGAACTCTGAAATCCTGCTAAAACAGTAGTAGAGGCTGATATTTTTCAGCTACTCACTGAGCCAAACTGGTTCTCACGTAACTGAAAAAAGGTGGAAAAGCTTAAAATTCTAATGAAAACAGCAGAAGAGGCTAAGTGCACTGTGGAGCAGGAGCTCTAATTAGCAGAAAAGAGGTGAAGAGGAATAATTTCTGCTGAAAAGAGGTAAAGAAGCAAAAAGCCGAGTTGAAAAGAAGTGTAGAAGCAGAAGTGCTTGCTGAAGATGGCTGTATGTGTAATGACACACTGGAGAGTGTCAAGAAAGCAGAGCGCATGCAAGCAGTGAACATGTGTAGCAGCTGTCACAGGTAGGATTCGAACCTCTGCCACCGGGTCTCACGACAGATGCCCTACCCTCTGAGCCAAATGAGTTCTGGTCACAAGCAAAGATATGATGAGAGGGAAAATGTGCACTGTGGAGCAGCAGCTCAAATTAGCAGAAAAGAGGTGAAGAGGAAGAACTTTGTTGTGAAATGAGGTAAAGAAACTGAAATTTGTGCTTAAAACAAGTGAAAAAGCTGAACTCTGAAATCCTGCTAAAACAGCAGAAGAGGCTGATATTTTTCAGCTACTCATTGAGCCAAACTGGTTCTCACGTAACTGAAAAAAGGTGGAAAAGCTTAAAATTCTAATGAAAACAGCAGAAGAGGCTGAGTGCACTGTGGAACAGAAGCTCAAATTAGCAGAAAAGAGGTGAAAACAGCAGAAGAGGGTGAGATTTGTGCTGATAAGAGGTGAAACTGCGGAACCAATCAGAGGTACTGCTTCTGTCTGCTTCATCAGGCTGTGTACTTGTATGTATTTCTGCCATAGACTGTTAACCAGAATCTGAGGTCCATATTAGAAAAGCTGCTAAAATCATTAAACTTTGCAGAATTGTAATAAATTATCAATATGAATTACCGGTCTGTGATAGTGTATAAATTTGTAGTTAAAAAAAAACATGTGGGCCAAGGTGGAATCGAACCCACGA